GCTGCTGAGCCTAAAAAGGTGCGCACCTGTAAGGTGGCCTGTGCTCAGCCTAAAAAGGGTCTGAGCCTAAAAAGGTGTTTCCTGCTGTGCAGCCATAAGGTGCTGCCGGGTGCGCACCCTGGTAAGGTCTCCCTGCTGCGCAGCTAAAAGGTCTCCCTGCGCTGCACCCCTAGAAGGTGTGCCTGCTGTGCAGCCTAAAAGGTGCTTCTGCTGTCCGCTGCGTCTGCTCAGGTTAGTAACTCGCGGGCCAAAAAAATTAGACCAACTTTTTTTTTTTTTTAAATCTTTGATTTTTTTTCATAAAAGGAAATTCTGCGTTACTTGCGACTTTTTGACAAAATTTTCTGGGCAGAATGTTGAATAAAAAGCCAAAATTATACTCACCGGGTTAAAGTTTCGTTGCAAAAGCCTTTTTTTATGATTTTCACTGTGTAAGCTTCACGGTGGTTAGAAAGACACGTAAGCAAAAACTAGGGCATATTTTCAGAAAACGTTTTGGGCCTGAGTCCTTGACCTTCTAACAACGGGTTGAAAACGGTGTCATCCACAGGACTCCCGGGGAAATAAAGGCATGAACCGGCCGTCCCGCCCTATAACACCTTAGACGCAGACGTGTTGGAACCTCGACACAACGAATTGGGGAAACCTCGACACGCAATCGGAAGCCCCGACCAGACGAAACTGGGAAGCCTCCAAGACGAAGTCTGGAACCCCGACACAGAAAGTCTGGGGAAACCTGCTCATCACCCCACCGAAACCCCTAGAACAAATACGGAAACACAATTTTTTTAAAAAATTTCACACTGTTTTATTTAAAATTAGACACATGTCAACCTTGGGTATCTTTTTGAGGAAAAAGTTTTCGCCACACAGTGGGGTTCATCAGTCCCTACAAAAGGGGAATCTTGAAGAAAAGTATGGAAAGATAAGCCACGTGTGGCGAAAGTTTCCTCAAAAAGATACCCAAAAATTTCCAGTGTCATTTACAACAGTCGGTTCTCTGAACCATTCATCTACAAATTGACACACATGATACTCAAGCGGGCACAGGAGTCACGTGATCACATTACCTCAGATTCTTCAGGTCACAATGAGTCACTCACACCTCATTCTGTGCCTATATATAGTCTTTTTAACCTCAGTATGTTAAAAGTGATCAAGGTCCCGGGGCCGAAACGTTTTCTAATAAATATATCCTAGTGTTTGTTCACGTGTCTTTCTAGTCCAACTTTAAGGTGTCTATGAACAAGGCTTATACGAAGCTTGACGGTATAAACCTCTCTGTTATAAGCTTCATTATGTGCGCAACAAGGTTAACAGATTACTTGGATTTATATGAAGAAGTATAAGTAACAGGAGTCCAGAAGTTATTTTCCAGCTGTGAGGCTTCACTTGGAGACAACATACACAAAAGGATGACTAAAATAATATTAGTAAAATACTGAGAATATCAAATCAGGTAAGAACCAGAAATAACGGATTTAAGTTAGATCAATTTAGATCTAGTAAGTATTGGTTTTGCTAAGATAATGGGTAGGTGTTAACAAAGACTGGACAAAGATGGTAGTGGGAGGGGCTGGGTTTGTCTGGTGTCTGGGATACAACAGCAGATTCTAGGATAACTTTGGGAACGGGGTGGACAAATCCATTAGTGATTTTGATAAGGATCTGCCTTGTATGAGCCAGTAGGTCTCCTGCAGTGTTCCTCCATTATGTTCTTATATGAGCTTCATTGTATAAGCTTCGCTATATATGCTTCGTTGTAAAAGCTTCATTGTATAAGCTTCGTTGTTATTTAAATTTCAGTTTGTCTTAAGCACTTTTCATTCGTTTCTCCCAAATTTACTTGTTTTTGTATTTCTGTCTTTGTTGATGTATTTACGCATTTGTTTCTTGTGTTGGAGGAGTGAAGAGGAGAGTGAGGCGCCACTTGTGGCAACACTTGTTCCCACTGCTGTTAACATCGATCTGGCAGTACTGCGCAGGTGTGTTTCACTATCAAAATAATGGCAGTTTAGGAACCATCTATACCCCCTCCCCCCCTCTCTCTCTCCCCGCCTGTCCCTCCCCCCTCTCTCTCCCCTCAAGGAAGGTTCCTTGATGTTGGTGAGGGGCTCTTGATTTAGGGAATTGGATCTGTGCTCCAGTTCCCCGAATTAAGCCTGAATGCCTTCCACATCCCCCCCCAGGCGCTGTATAATCCTCCGGGTTTAGCGCTTCCCCCTTGATTATAATAATAATAATAATCCCCCCTCTCTCTCTCCCCGCCTGTCTCTCCCCTCTCTCTCTCTCCCCGCCTGTCTCTTCCCCCCTCTCTCTCCCCGACTGTCTCTCCCCCCTCTCTCCACCCTCTCTCTCTCCCCCCTTCTCTCTCCCCCCCTTCTCTCTCCCCGCCTGTCTCTCCCCCCTCTCTTTCTCCCACCTCTCTCTCCCCGCCTGTCTTCTCCCTCTCTCTCTCTCCCCCTCTCTCCCACCCCCTCTCTCTCTCCCACTCTCCATCCCCCCCTCTCTCCCTCCCTCTCTCTCCCCATCTCTCTCTCAGCTCGGGCTCCACTATGACAATCTTTAAACTTTGATAAGATCGTTCCCAATAAATCGCCCCTGAACCAGACGTATACACACCGAGATGTGTATATCTGTGTATATCCATCGAGAGATATATATCTTTCATTGGATATACACCAACAGATATCTACCAGGAGTCTACCTGGAGGTCATTCCGGGGATCAACGCCCCCGCGGCCCGGTCCACGACCAGGCCTCCCGGTGGATCAGGGCCTAATCAACCAGGCTGTTACTACTAGCCGCACGTAGTCCAACGTACAAACCACAGCCCGGCTTATTCGGCACCGACTTTAGGTATCTGTTCAGCTCCCTCTTGAAGGCAGCCAGGGGTCTATTGGTAATTCCCCTTATGCTTGGTGGGAGGCTGTTGAACAGTCTTGGGCCCCGGACACGTATGGTGTTTTCCCTTAGTGTACCAATGGCACCCCTACCTTTAATTGGGGGCATTTTGCATCGCCTGCCCAGTCTTTTACTTTCGTAGGGAGTGATTTGTGTGTGCAGATTCTGGACCATTCCTTCTAGGATTTTCCAAGTGTAGATTATGATATATCTCTCTCCTGCGTTCCAACGAGTACAAGTCAAGTGCTTGCAAGCGTTCCCAGTAGTTAAGGTTTTTGATAGAACTTATACGTGCAGTAAAGATTCTCTGTACACTCTCTAGATCTGCAATTTCACCTGCTTTGAACGGAAATGTTAATGTACAGCAGTATTCCAGCCTAGAGAGAATAAGTGATTTGAAAAGGATCATCACTGGCTTGGCATCTCTCGTTTTGAACGTTCTCATTTTCCATCCTATCATTTTCTTTGCACCTGTGATCGTGGCACTGTTGTGATCTTTGAAAGTGAGAGCCTCAGACTTTACCATTCCCAGGTCCCTTACACTATTTTTCCACTCTATTGTATGGCCAAAGTTTGTAGTATACTCTGTTCTAGTTATTATCTCCTCCAGTTTTCCATAACGGAGTAGTTGGAATTTGTCCTCATTGAACACATTGTTTCCCGTTGCCCATTGGAAAACTTGGTTTATATCTTCTTGGAGGTTAACCTTATCCTCAATAGATGAGTCTCGTGCAAATCCTAGTATCGTCTGCAAAGGATGACACGTGCTGTGGATTACAACTCTGTCTATGTCTGATATGAGGATGAGGAACAGAATGGGGGCGAGTACTGTGCCTTGTCGAACAGAGCTTTTCGCTATGGCAGCTTCCGATTTAACTGATGACCACTACTTTTTGCGTTCGATTGGCTAGGAAGTTGAAAATCCATCTCCCCACTTTGCCGGTTATTCCTTTAGCACGTATTTTGTGCGCTATTACGCCATGATCGCATTCTGTTTTTCTTCCAGTGCATCCTGCGAGAGACAGGAGCGACCTGCCTTGTACCCATGTTGCCCTGTATTGTGCAGTTTTTGGTAATCCAGGTGGTTTGCAATCCTGCTTCTTAGCACTCTTTCAAAGATTTTTATGATGTGGGATGTTAGAGCTATTGGTCTATAGTTCTTAGCTAATACTTTGCTGCCACCTTTATGGAGTGGGGCTATATCCGTTGTTTTAAGTGACTGGAATTTCACCCGTGTCTAAGCTCCTTCTCCATAGTGTACTTAGGACACGTGAAAGGGGTTTCTTGTAGTTCGTAATGAACAAAGAGTTTCACGAGTCTGGCCCTGGGGCTGAGTGCATTGGGATGTTGTCAATGACTTTTTCGAAGTCTATCGGAGTTAGGGTAATGTCGGAAATCTGGCATACATAGATGGAGTTTTGAGGCTCATTCATGAAGAAATCATTTGGGTCGTCGATCTTCAGACTGATTAGTGGCTAGTCGGTCAAATCATACCACGGGTGGGGTTAGAACCCGCGATCAGTCACAAAACTCCAGACCGTCGCGTTAGCCACTGGGTCAGCTAGCTACAATAAGATTCATCCAACTAGCTGGTCCATTGGCTACCGCGACGGTCTGGAGTTTTGTGACTCTGATCGCGGGTTCTAACCCCACCCGTGATATAGTTTGTTTGCAATCGTATCATTACGATTTCGTGAGTCGAGAGATATCGATCTCTCTAGTGTACTTCGCAGTGTGTATAAACACTGAGAGTTTAATCTACTCTTCACAGAATCAAAGTAATGACGGTGTTAGTGTATGGATGATCTGGCGACCCACTTAATGAATACAACTATAATCCAACCAGTTAATGTAGTATTACACATCTTAATCCGACATTACGAAGGTGGCTGAGGTTTCATACATCCTGATCTGACATTACAAAGGTTTCTTTCATGCCTTGAAAGCTGCAAAGGTAAGATGTAATGTTTGTCTACCTGGCCCTCACACTTACAAACAGTGACACGCTAGTGTACGTCAACAAGAACATTGCTTGTCTCTCTCTCTTCCCCGGTACATACGCACGAGACTGTACTAATGTGCGAGTGTCTCCCGTAGATTCGTCGTGGGTGGAGTTCGTGGAGCACCCGGTGATGAAGGAGACCAAGGACCGCTCGGTCTTCATTCACGTCGACATACCCGGCCAGGAGGACGGCGCCCCGGACCTGCCCAACGAGTGAGTACTTACTGCGTTGCTTCTCTTACTCATTACTCACTAGTGAAGTCTTCTTACCTGAATATGAATATACTCATTTATAAGATGCCCCTCCCTCTCCTGATGTGTCTGTAAATTACTTTCTTCTGCCCTGAAAGATGTTTCAGCTTATTATTCATCCATTTCGGGTCATTTCTGTTCAATCTAATTTTCTTTATACAGGTATCAAAGCTTATTGCTTGGGTAGCATTGGGAATGGGTTGGTGAATATTTTTGTTATGGGTTTGGGATTTTACAAGAACGTGCCCATATGGGCCAGTAGGCCTTTGCAGTGTTCCTACTTTCTTATATTCTTACAAACAAAACTCCGTGTGCGGTTTGTGGCGCTCTGTTGAGAGGTGGATGATGAAATCATTGGAGGTTTGAGAAAATTGTCTCAGTAAGAAGACCCTAAACCCATACCGTGTCTTAATAACATACCTGTGAGTACATAACACCGGTGATATACACGAAGGTATTGATTAGTACTGATTTGTGAGTACCAGTGGTGATTGTGTCCTGCAGTGCAGACCAGAAAGTTATTTGTGAGTACCAGTGGTGAGTGTGTCCTGCAGTGCAGACCAGAAAGTTATTTGTGAGTACCAGTGGTGAGTGTGTCCTGCAGTGCAGACCAAAGTGTTGTTTGTGAGAACCAGTGGTGAGTGTCCTGCAGTGTAGGCCAGTGTTACCTGTGAGTACCAGTGATGACTGTGTCCTGCAGTGCGGGCCAGAGTATTGTGAGTACCAGTGGTGAGTATGTCCTGCAGTGGAGGCCAGAGTGTTACTTGTGAGTATCAGTGTTGAGTCCTGTAGTGCAAGCCAGAGTGTAACTTCAAAAATGTCTTGTCGACCTCCCTCCCTCCATCCTTCCCTCTCTCTCTCTCTCTCTCTCTCTCTCTCTCTCTCTCTCTCTCTCTAACAATCAACAACTAGCACGTAAGACAGGATTAATACCAAATTAGATCATCCTAGCTGAGACAAGCACTTGTCAGACCTGGGAAGCTGAAATTTAATAGGACGGGAGGGAATGCTTCAGTGCCAGTAATAAGACGTGAGGGAGTGCTTCAGTGCCACTAATAAGACGGAAGGGAGGGACGGACTGCTTCAGGGCCAGTAATAAGACGTGAGGAAGGGGGTGCTTCAGTGCCAGTAATAAGACGGGAGGGAAGGAGTGCGTCAGTGCCAGTAATAAGGCCTGAGGGAGGGCTTAAGTGCCAGTAATAAGTGAGGGAGTGCTTCAGTGCCAGTAATAACACATGAGGGAATTCTTCAGTGCCAGTAATAAGACGTGAGGGAGTGCTTCAGTGCCAGTAATAAGAAGAGGGAAGGGAGTGCTTCAGTGCCAGTAATAAAACGAGAGGGAGTGCTTCAGTGCCAGTAATAAGACGGGACGGAGTGCATCAGTGCCAGTAATAGGACGGGGGGAGGGAGTGCTTCAGTGCCAGTAATAAGACGGGGAGAGGGAGTGCTTCAGTGCCAGTAATAAGACGGGGGGAGTGCTTCAGTGCCAGTAATAAGACGGAGGGAGTGCTTCAGTGCCAGTAATAAGACGGGGAGAGGGATGCTTCAGTGGGCAGTAATAAGACGGAGGGAATGCTTCAGTGCCAGTAAAAAAGACGGGAGGGGAGTGCTTTAGTGCCAGTAATAAGACGGGGGAGGGTGCTTCAGTGTCAGTAATAAGACGGGGGAGTGCTTCAGTGCCAGTAATAAGACGGAGAGGGAGTGCTTCAGTGCCAGTAATAAGACGGGAGGGAGTGCTTCAGTGCCAGTAATAAGACGGGGAGGGAGTGCTTCAGTGCCAGTAATAAGACGGGAGGGAGTGCTTCAGTGCCAGTAATAAGACGGGAGGGAGTGCTTCAGTGCCAGTAATAAGACGGGGAGAGAGTGCTTCAGTGTCAGTAATAAGACGGGAGGGAGTCCTTCAGTGCCAGTAATAAGACGGATGAGTGCTTCAGTGCCAGTTAATAAGACGGAGGGAGAGCCTCAGTAGCCAGTAATAAGACGGGAGGGAGTGCATCAGTGCAGTAATAAGACGGGGAGAGAGTGGCATCATGTCAGTAATAAGACATAGGGGTGCTTCAGTGCCAGTAATAATCGGGAGGATGCTTTCATGCCTTAATAAGACGGAGAGTGCTTAATGCCAGTAATAAGACGGAGTGGAGTGCATCAGTGCAGTAATAAGAAGACGGGAGTGGAGTGCTTCAGTGCCAGTAATAAGAACGGGAGGGAGTGCTTCAATGCCAGAAATATACGGAGGGAGGCATCCAGTGCCAGTAATAAGACAGGGGAGGGAGTGCTTCAGTGCCAGTAATAAGAACCGGGGAGAGGGAGGTGCTTCAGTGCCAGTAAAAAGACGGGGAGAGAGGAGTGCTTTCAGTGCCAGTAATAGACGGGAGAGGGAGTGCTTCACAGTGCCAGAAATAAGACTGGGGAGGGAAGTGCTTAAGTTCCCAGTAATAAGACGGGAGAGGGAGATGCTTCAGTGCCAGAAATAAGACGGGGAGAGGAGGTGCTTCAGTGCCAGTAATAAGACGGGGAGAGTGAGTGTTCAGTGCCAGTAATCAGACGAGGCGGAGGGAGTGCTTCAAGTGCCAGTATAAGACGGGGAGGGAGTGCTCAGTGTCAGTAATTAAGACGGGAGGGATGCTTCAGTGGCAGTAATTAAGACGGGGGAGGGAGTGCTTCAGTGTCAGTAATAAGACCAGGGAGGGAAGTGCCTTCAGTGCCCAGTAAATAAGACGGGGGAGTGAGTGCTCAGAGGCCAGTAATAAGACGGGGGAAGGGAAGTGCTTCAGTGCCATAAAAAGACGGGGAGGAGTGGCATCATGTCAGTAAATAAGACGGGGGAGGGAGTGCTACCAGTGCCAGTAATAAGACGGGATGGAGTGCTACAAGCCAGTAATAGACGGGGGATGGAGTGCTTCAGTGCCAGTAATAAGCGGGGAGGAGGCTTCAGTGCCCAGTAATAAGACTGTAGGGAGTGCTTCAGTGCATAATAAAACGCGGGTGTGATTGAGTGCTTACATTAGTCAGTAATTGAGAGATGGGAGCGGGGAGGGAGTGCTTTCAGTGCATTAATTAAGACGGGGGAGGGATGCTTCAGTGTCAGTAATAAGACGGTGGAGGGAGTGCTTCAGTGCCAGTATTAAGACGGGGAGGGAGTGCTTCAGTGTCAGTTAAAAAGACGGAGAGAGTGCTCAGTGTCTGTAATAAGACGGGGAAGGAGGTGCATCAGTGTCATAATAAGACGGGGGAGGGAGTGCTTCAGTGCCAGTAATAAGACAGGCAGGGAGTGCTTCAGTGCCAGTAATAAGGACGGGAGGGAGTGCTTCAGTGCCAAGTAAAAGACGGGCGATTGCTTCAGTGTCAGTAATAAGACGGGGAGGAGTGCTTCAGTGTCAGTATAAGACGGAGGGAGTGCTTCATGCAGTAATAAGACGGGAGAGAGTGCTTCAGTGTCAGTATAAGACGGGAGGAGTGCATCATTTCAGTAATAAGACGGGGAGAGGAGGCTTCAGTGTCATAATAATACGGGAGAGAGTGCTTCAGTTCAGTAATAAGACTGGGATAGAGTGCTTTCAGTGCCAGAAATAAGACGTGAGGGAGAGGCTTCAGTGTCATAATAAGACGGGGAAGAGTGCTTCAAGTGTCAGTAATATGACGGGAGGGAGTGCTTCATGCCAAGTAATAAGACTGGGAGGAGTGCTTCAGTGTCAGATAATAAGACGGGAGGGAGTGCTTCAGTGCCAGTACTAAGGACGGGGGAGGGAGTGCTTCAGGTGCATTAATAAGAGGGAAGGGAGTGCTTCATGCAGTAATAAGACGGGAGGAGTGCTACAGTGCCAGTAATAGCACGGGGAGAGAGTGCTTTCAGTGCCAGTAATAAGACGGGAGGGATGCTTCAGTGCCATAATAAGACGGGAGGGAGTGCCTTCAGTGGTCAGTCATAAACGGGGAGAGAGTGCATCGTGTCAGTAATAAGACGGGAGGGAGTGCCTTCAGTGCCATTAATAAACGGTAGGGAGTGGCTTCAGTGCCAGTAAAGAAGACGTGGGAGGGATGCTTTCATGCCAGTAATAAATACGGTAGGGCGGTGCTTCAGTGCCAGTAATAAACGGGGAAGAGAGTGCTTCAGTGTCAGTGAATAAGACAGTAGGGAGTGCTTCATGGCAGTAATAAGACGGGATGAGTGCTTCGAGCCAGTAAAAAGACGGAGGGAGTGCTTCAGTGCCAGTAATAAGACGGAGGGAGTGCTTCAGAGCCAGTAATAATAACGGGAGGGAGGCTTCCAGTGCCAGTAATAAGACGGGAGGGAGTGCTTCAGTGGCCAGTATAAGACTGGGGAGGAGTGCTTTCAGTGGCCAGTAATAGAGACGGGGAGAGGGAGTGCATCAGTGCCAGTAATAAGACGGGGTAGAGGAGTGCTTCCAGTGCCAGTATAAGACGGGGAGAGGAGTCATCAGTGCCAGTTAATAAGACTGGGGAGGGAGTGCTTAAGTGCCAGTAATAAGAACGGGGCGAGGGATGTGCTTCAGTGCCAGTAATAAGACGGGGAGAGGGATGCTTTCAGTCCAGTAATAAGACGGGAGGGAGTGCTTCAGTGCCAGTAATAAGACGGGAGGGAGTGCTTCAGTGCCAGTAATAAGACGGGAGGGAGTGCTTCAGTGCCAGTAATAAGACGGGGGAGTGCTTCAGTCCAGCAATAAGACGGGGAGATAGAGGCATCAGTTGTCAGTAATAATACAGGTAGGGAGTGCTGTCAGTGCCCGTAATAAGACGGGAGGGAGTTGCTTCATGCCAGTACTACGACGGGAAGGGAGTGCTTCAGTGCCAGTACTCATACGGGAAGGGAGATGCTTCGTGCCAGTAATAAGACGGGAGGGAGTGCTTCAGTGCCAGTAATAAGACGTGAGGAGTGCTCAGTGCCAGTTAATAAAGACGGGGGGAGGCAGTGCTTCAGTGCCAGTAATAAGACTGGGGAGGGAGTGCTACAGTGCCAGTAATAAGACGGGGAGAGGGAG